AACCAAATTCTATAATTTGTATTTATTTTTAAAGTGTGACATATACATGTCAAAACAACATTTTTTCTCTCATAACCAAGGACTCATCTTTATTATAAAAAAAATAAAAAATGCAGAAAAGAAACATTTAAAATCGACCAACTCAGTTAGATCATATTGGATTTCATTTTCTTTTCATGACTACTCATTCTTCACTGAAGTCTTAGAAGCTTCTGGAAAGCATTCCAGACTACCTCTCTGCCCCTTTCACATACAGTTACCACACTGTAATCAGTTTTACCTGATATTTCCATATTCTTTCCACGCACTTCACACATGATTCCATGTGGTTTGGCATCCACCTAGTTGACTCAAATGTTTCTCAACATTTCCAGTAAGCTTCCTTATCATTGTCCAATACCATTATCTCCAGCTCTTTCTTATCCACTGCAATTTGCTTTGTTTGAAAGTCTCCTCACCTGGGTTCCACAATGCTACCTAATGTTTTAGTTGTCTTCTTGCCTTTGAAACTATTCCCTGTCTCTTGCCTTCAATTTCTTTTATTATTCCTTGAGTTTTGTATATAGGCTCAGTTGCTTTCACTTGAAAACAGTAGAAAAACCAACTAACAATGGCATAAACAACAGGATATTTATTGATTATCTAACAAGAAGTCCAGAGGTCGGAAGTCCTAAGAGTGGTTTGGTGACTCAAATAGGAACTCAAGGATCGAGGTTCTTTCCATCCCTCTGTTCTGTCATTGTCTGTCTTTTAGCAATATCTTGTGTCTCAATCAAAAGACGGCTATGTAGTTCTAAGAAGGCAAGAGGCTGAGGCAAAATGACCCTTGGCTTTTTTAATCAGGGAAAACATTTTTTTTGTTGGGAAATCTCCATAAATCACATTGGCTAGAAATGGGTCTTACACCTACCCCTACACCATTTAATGGAATAGGGAAAAGGACTAATTGTGATTCATCCCTTGTTGGTGACCACAATGCTCCCTGATATAATCAGTCTTAGAGTAGCAAAAAAGAAAGGGCGATGGCTGTGGAATATGTGATTGACAGGGGCTGCACGATGGTCTGTCACCTGTGGCTGCTCATCAAGACTAAGTCTTCTTTTCTCTACAACTCAAATTCTCTGAGGTTTCATTCATGTTATGCCCAAAAAAAGTCATCGTGAAAATCAGCTGGAAAGTGAAAGTACTGTATAAACAGGAGTTGTATTGTCTTAATAAGCATACCATATTTTCCTAATGAGATCCTTTTTTTTTTTTTTTTTTGAGACAGGGTCTTCCTCTGTCTCCCAGGCTGGAGTGCAGTGGCTCGATCTTGGCTTATTGCAACCTCAGCCTCCAGGGTTCAAACGATTCTCCTGCCTCAACCTACCAAGTAGCTGAAACTACTGGCACATGCATCATTCCAGCAAATTTTCTTTGTATTTTTTATAGAGAATTGATTTCGCTGTGTTGGCCACTCTCATCTCTAACTCCTGAGCTCAGGCAATTCACCCTCCTCAGCCTCCCAAAGTGCAAGGATTAAGGTGTGAGCCTCCATGCCCAGCAGAGACATAATCTTAAAATAAATATTGAGTAATTCTTCTTGCATATTGAACCAAGCACCAAGTTATGCTAATCCTTTCCTCAGTATCTATGTACATCTTTCCATTTTCCATCCTCCTATTCTAGGTATCAATTACCTTATGCTTTTACCATGGAGGCAGAGTTCTATATGTGCCTCCTGCTTTCCTTTCTCTTGCTTTTGGTTTGCTTTCTCCTGTATGACATTATTCACGTTCCTTTTCCCTATTATACACAATATAAATACTATAGGTAGGGTTCTAGCCGTTAGCTGACCATTTTGTCTAAAACAAATGCCTACTCTTTGAAATGACCTCTTTCCTGTCTGGCCAGGCCTCTTCTAGGAACTTCCATAACATTCCATGCTCATTCCAGCACCTTCTCTAGGCTCCTGCCGTGGCTTACTTAGCATTAACTGGAATGTTTGAGTTTGTCTCTTACACCACTGCAAACAGTGTGACATTACCCAACAAATGGACCAGACAGGGCTAAGGTCACCAGTAAAGCAAGTTATCTAATTCTTTGGTTTGACTTGAGTTCACAAACCTACCCTAAACTATTTGGCCCTCCTGATGGAATTAAACTAATCTATTTATGCTTAAGTTAGTCATTATTTTCATGTAGTATCTTTACCACAAATCCTAAGATCATTTTGTAAGTATAGGGACTGTGTACCATAGTTTAGTGCTATATAGTTGTACTGAGTGCTCATTCAATACCTAATAATTAGTTGATCTTCAAATAATTTAAAACCCCCTATACTATGCTTTTACCCATTCTTCCTATATCTCCATTTTAAATAATTGAATTGGTCGGGCACAGTGGTTCAAGCCTGTAATCCCAGTACTTTGGGAGAATGAGGCGGGCGGATCACGAGGTCAAGAGATCGAGACCATCCTGGCTAACATAGTGAAATCCCGTCTCTACTAAAAATACAAAAATTAGCTGAACGTGATGGTGTACACCTGTAGTCCCAGCTACTTGGGAAGCTGAGGCAGGAGAATTGCTTGAACCCAGGAGGCGGAGGTTGCAGTGAGCTGAGATTGTGCCACTGTACTCCAGCCTGGCGTCTGGTGACAGAGTGAGACTCTGTCTCAAAAAGAAAAAAAAAAAAAAAAAGGAAAAATTGAGTTATCTGTTATAGTAAGTCAGGATAAATCACAATGAGTCCCATGATAAGGTGGTAGGATAAGGGGTGTGTGTTTTTGCCTCTTTCCTCTGGAGTGCATAATGCCTATGATAGAAAGAGAAGTTTGAAGGAAGTCATGTTGTCAAATATCACAGAAGTAATGACTACTACAATTCCTGATTCTACCAACCTCACCATTTGTCCACAAACATACCAGAATATATTTTATCTCGAAATATATTTCCAACTTGAGGAGAAATAAGCTCAGTGATTTAAGTTCTGCCAGTTAACATAAATATTGTGAAAACAAAAAATTATGCTAAAATTTTAAGAGAAAAAAAGTTAAATGTGTTGTGTTGTCAGAAATACTTAGCTATGGAGTTTTGTTTGTTTTGGTTTGTTTTGACCTATGAGTTTGAAGAAGACAAAGTCACTCTGTAAATAAGTTGACTTGATTTTTAAAGCATTTGCAAAGGTTAAATGAGGTTGAATCTTGAGAATCTTTTTGGTGGGTTAGGAGAGGAGGAATTTATTAAGGAGAAGAAGACAATGTACCCAATGTTTGTGATGATGATAATGACAAATGGAATGATTTAAACTTCTGAGTCATTCTGGTCATTCACACCATCATTGGGAAAACATCTTTATGTGTAGCTTCATAGGTGAGCTCCACAAAACTGGGCATTATCTTGTAGTAAGTTTCTGAATAACGTGCTGACCTACAAAACATATAGCCATGTAAGTGAGTAAACACTATTTTATTATTATTATCTGGTCTTGGTTTTCATTAAACTATCTTATTAGTTCCAGGGGCTCTGGGTTTCAACATACACCGCTGCCAGCTGACATCAGTGAGTTCATTAGCATAACAAAGTCAATTAGGCAAACCTGAATTTTCACTTTTATCCTGCTCACAGAACATCAGTGTAAATAGAGACAGAAAGAAGAAATTGGATTGCTTCTTCACTTGTGACTCACGTTAACTCGAAAGAAAATGTTAAGTCTACTATGTGAGGGCATCCGGCAAGAGGGAGGGTATCTTCTCCCTTCCCCATTCTCTCCCTTTACGCACCTCTGGCCCCTGTTCTCTCCTTTGCTTGTTGCTTCTGTGCTCTGGTTGTTAGCTTTCCTGCTCCTCCACACATTGGAAACCTAAGCATAATGATTTCTGATCTAAGGCTATGGAATATTTGAAATTTTAAAAAGTGAAATTGTTGAGTCTAGAACCAAACATTTAAAAATAAAGAACTCTTGGTCTCCAATGTGTGTCTTTAGAAAAAAAATAAAACAAACCAACAAAAACAAAGGCAAACAGAAATTAGACGACTGGTTAGAGCCGTGATCGTTCTCTGCCACCCAGGAACTACCGTATATGACTATTTCCACTCTGGCTTTGTGTTTCAGCAGATCAGGAACATACGTCAAGAGCAACAACTGAAACTGCGTCCTCCTTTACCTCCATAAAAATACAGCTTAATAGCATGTTAATGGCTTTAAATTACCTTGTCTTTCTAGATGGTTTATTTATCTCATTTCAGATCACTATAAAGGATGTGAAGTGAGTAAGAAAATAGGAACGTTTCTTTTTCCTTTCCCCCTTTCTACCGACTAGGAAGAGATCCAGTCCAGGTTTTGCCTGTGACTCGGCCTGTGAATTTCGGCTGTGCAATGTGTAGCACGTTTCTTTCTCCCCCCTCCTTTCTCCTTCCCTCTAGCCTCCAGTGTCTGTCTCCAGGATTTCTCTCTTCCTATTTCAGGAGGACTCTCACAGGCTCCCACAGCCTGTGTGAAGCTGAGGTTTCCCTCTAGATCTCGTATAACCCCAACACATACCTCCACGCACACACGTCCCCAAGAACCTCGCGCTCACACCAACGGACACACACACGCACACACACTCGCTCTCGCTTGTCCATCTCCCTCCGGGGAGAGCCGGCGCGCGTTCCCAGCTCCGCCGCACACTCCGGCGAGCCGAGCCCGCAGCGCTCCAGGATTCTGCGGCTCGGAACTCGGATTGCAGCTCTGAACCCCCATGGTGGTTTTTTAAACACTTCTTTTCCTGCTCTTCCTCGTTTTGATTGCACCGTTTCGCTCTGGGGACTAGAGGAGCAAGGCAGCTGCCTTCCCAGCCAGCCCTTGTTGGCTTGCCATCCTCCATCTGGCTTATAAAAGTTTGCTGAGCGCAGTCCAGAGGGCTGCGCTGCTCGTCCCCTCGGCTGGCGGAAGGGGGTGACGCTGGGCAGCGGCGAGGAGTGCGCCGCTGCCTCTGGCGGGCTTTCGGCTTGAGGGGCAAGGTGAAGAGCGCACGGGCCGAGGGGTTGACTGAGCTGGATTTGCATGTTGCACCATGCCTTCTTGGATCGGGGCTGTGATTCTTCCCCTCTCCGGGCTGCTGCTGTCCCTCCCGGCCGGGGCGGATGTGAAGGCTCGGAGCTGCGGCGAGGTCCGCCAAGCGTACGGTGCCAAGGGATTCAGCCTGGCGGACATCCCCTTCCAGGAGATCGCAGGTAAGTGCGGGCGCGCGGCCGGAGCAGGCTGCAGCCCTCGGCTGCCGCGCGTCCCCCTTGGCGCCGGGCGCCCCCTTCCTTCCCCCTGTTGCTGAGTTGGTGCTCACTTTCTGCCACGGCTCTACGGGACTCCGCGTCTCCGCGCCGGGCGGATGATGCTCCTGCGGCTTCTCCGGCCGGGGGAAGATGAGCGTCTACGCCGCCTCATTGTGTGCACACGCGGGAGCACCCTCGCTCCCTCCTCCCTCTGCCCTCGCGCCCTTCTGCCCCTTCGTGGATGGCTCAGGCCTGGGCTGCCAGGGAGACCGGGTTACTCTGGAGCGGCAGCGAGGCGCGGACAGAGAGCCGAGCCGGGTGCTCACCCCGTGTTCTGGTTCGGGCAAACTTGGAAGAACTGCGATCGCAGTTTGCCCAGCGCCACAGTCTGAGTGGCGCCTTCTCCACTCCCGCCCTCGCGCCGGCAGGGGCGGTGGAGAGACGCGGAGAGCTCCCCCAGCGCCTTTCGCCCCTCTCCCAGTCCTCCCGGGAGGCAGAGCGCACGGCGCCCGGGCCGGGCAAGGCTGGGAGGAACCCTCGTCTGGGACTGGCCTCCGGACGCCGGCGTTTTTAGGCTGGTTTGGGGACTTCACCGGCTGCGCGTTTCAGTCGCGGGGCGGGCTTTCCCGTTGAGGTTCCCCAGTTGCTGTTGGCCGCTCAGGGCTCGGGGACACCCCGCCACCCAGTCCGGAGCCGGCCTCGTCTGCCAGCGGGCAGCCAACTTCAGCGGGTGGCTCCGCTGGGGTTTCGGGTCCGGGAGCCCCGGTGTCCCCCTCCTGCCCGGCCCCTGGCACTGCTCCACCTAGAGCTTGCGAGCGCCCACCCTCCCTCTCGGCGCCAGCGTGTGTAGCACTGGGTCTCCGATAACTTGGCGCGGCAGTCTGGGTGCTTGTTTTCCGGCTCTTAGCTCCAACCGAATCCCAGCTTCTCTGGGGCTCGGTGAATGAAACGTGTCGGGGAGAGAGAATCCTTTGGCTGCCAAAGAACAGAACTGAGAGAGGCCGAGGGAGGCCAGGAGATGCTGCGAGGGCGCGGGCTGCTCAAAGTGGGCAGCTCAAGTCCTTAGTGACCTCAGATCGTCAAGTCAAAACGCTGAATTTACATGAGCCTCTCTGCTTTTTGCCAAATAACTGGTGGATGGATGAAAAGCATTTTGCAGATATCTTAGAACATCACAGTTTCGATACGTTGCGGAATTGCTATTTCTCGTGATTTTCAAGCTGTAGAAGTGAGGGTTTTTACTTACACTGAAACGAACACATTTAAATAAATTTGAGCATTGCCAAAGGAGGGGGGGAAGAGGCACAAATTACCACGCGCATTCTATAGAAGGAGCTTTTTCAATTCAGAGCCAGGCATTCCCTCTGGTGAGTCTAAGGAAGAAGCTGTGGTGAATTATAACATTACTTTTCTATCCTTGTTACTTCTTCCTTCTTTTCCAGAACTCCTTAATTTGTTAATCAATGAATAGAGACCGGCTGTCCCCACAGCTCCTTAAATTTCTTAACTCTCCTTCTCCTTTGTCTGCTGTTATTTCATTCTTTTTAATTAATTGATAAGGATCAGCTTCCCTTTTTTTTTTTTCCCACTACCCAAATCTCAGGGAATTCAACTTTTTAAAAGGTTTGTAGCATGGATCACTTCTACTAGGAACTTTTCTACTTTAATCTGGTCTTTTACAAACGGTATCTTTTAAGCACACAGATATTTCCCAACATGATTTCAGATAAGATATCTCAAAGAAGAAAATAGGTATTTTTAAATTGCTTTGGTATTTAGCGGATAATACTCTGAGGAGAGTTCAGTCCTCACCATCGGGCACAACTCTTTAATATCAAAGTGAAGATTTTCAGTGTAAAATAATTTCTGTAGCCACCATGAATGTTTGTGGAGAACATTCCCAGGGTTTCGTGTAAATTCTTCGGTGGATATTTACAGAGGTTTTTGTTTTTGTTTTTTTGTATCCTCACCACCTTTTTGCAGTTAAGTGTTTGCTTATTAGCTATGAATTTGTTAAATATGTGCACTTTTTTTTTTTTTTTTTTTAACTTACCTGCTTTCCATGACTAAGGGCACACTGTTAACTTTGCTGTAAACCTGGCGTCCTTTGATGCTGGTAGACATAATCAAGCTGCAGGTCACTACAGGGTCAGGCGCACAGTTAATAGGAAAATAATGAATTGAAAGATAATTGTGTTTTTTAAGGACATACTTGTTTTTTCAAAGTCAACTTTACTTAATGTTGCCTATTGCTGTTTTAATGATCACTTAGGAAATATACCCTGTTCTTAGATGAACACACTCTGTCTCTCCTCCCTAGTTCTTGATACTGCTTATGTTTAATTATCTAGTGTAAAAGGTTATCTTATCTAATTCTTTTTTATCCTTTGCCTTGATTGGACATCTAATGATTTGCTTGAGGAATTTCATGTGTCTTCAATCTGCCAGGGTGCATAAATTTAAAAGAATTGCTCTTCAGGCTTCAGCTTGATGACAACTGTTTCTAATTGAAAGATATTTGCAGGTAGCTTGCTTAGTGAAATAACTTGAGAAGTAATGAGGACATTATGTTTCATCATGACATTATCAAAGTTTCACTAGAACTCAAAATTGTGAAATAGTGTTGCCCTTTTCTATTCTAGGATAGAAAAGAAATGCAACAGATGAGGGAGTATGATAGGTAATATATAAAGTTATGCTTTCAGAGAATGCTTGGGAAGTAGGCCTTCGAGGGGCAGTTTGCACCATCAATCTTCACTCAGCGCTGATTTTAAAGCATCGCAAGGAGATCAGATAGACTCTATTTATCCTTGTTTGAAAAACTTCCAAAGGAGTAGACTGTTGATCCCCTTTCAGCAATCCATTCTAATATTTAGCAATTCTTGTGATATAGAAATGTTTCCAGATATCTAGCCAAAGCCTTCACAATGTGCTTGCTTATTTTTTCTTGTTCTGTCTTCTGGGAAGATATTGAGCAAGTGAATCATCAGGGTCTTTGTTAGGACAGTTATTCTGATCAAAGGTCAGTGTGAAACATTCTAGTCTTTCCTCATGCATCAGAATTATTACCTAATTTTCCAGTCCTCCTTATCTTGGTGGCTCTAAACTTCTAAACGAACTCTACCACCAAAAATAGCACCTGCTTAAGACTCTGGGAAATTCAGAGAATGTTGTTTCAGGCTTACCCTGCCACTGTTTTATGCCTTGGGCCTTGCTGGAATCATTAATTATAACACTTTGTAGTTTACAGTGACTTATTGGCCTACATGATCATGTTTTCATTGTTTATGTAATGTGACTTTATTTAGCAATCTCATATAGCATTTATTATGTGCCCATCACTGACTTAAAAATTATTACCTTTATAATGTCACCTTACTTAATTCTCCCAATAACTTAGTAGATACTACACATTAACCCCATTTTATAGATGAAAAGTCTATGCAACAGGAACTTTAATTAGCTTACCTAAGGGTGACTCAACTAGTAAGTGATGAGGCTGAAATTCAAACCTGGGCTCCCTGACTCCAAGGTCTATAGACCTAACTTGGCCCACTGCCTTACAATATTAAATAGTCACCATTCATTTTGATTGAATGCATGCAAAATTTATTATTTCCTCATTTCATATATATATATAGCCTGGTATTATTAACCACTATATGTGTGTGTGTGTGTATATATATATATATATATATATATATATATATATATCCCTTCCAGTTGTGCATGCTAAATACTTTTCTGTTTTCTTCCAACGTCTCTAATTTCTCAAAATCACTTTGACTTTGGATTTTGTATCCTCAGGAATTGGCCATGCTACCACCAATAAATGGTTCATATATTTACACATATTCCTGATCATTTTCTTGCATAGATAATGTAAAACACAGAAACTAAAATACCTGTATTGATTGCTTTCACGATACTAGGCCTACTGAAATATTGAGTTAGTGCAACAAAGCTCATGATGGAAAGTTATTCATGGGGCAAGAGGGAAGAAGAGTGTTTATCTCCACAGATTAGAAAAAAAAAATTGTAACTAACTTTTTCAGTATTTACTTTGCAAGTTTTTCTGGCCCAGTTATTTTGAGAGTTGAATTATAGCTGGATATTAAGAAAGCACTAAACTCTTTATCTCTTTGATGTTAATTAATCAAGTATTTATTTAAAAATCTATGGTTTAAAAAGATTATTGGCTTGTTTCAAAATATATAACGTTTCATTTTCACTGACCTTTGCCCAATGACTATTTCCTTTCTTTGGAAACCTGTCTGTCTGCTCTCCCAGCAAACCAACTAATTTAATATATTTACAACTTACACAACCCTTTCTTTTTTCCGTTTCCATGGAAATATCACATTAACATAAATGAAAAACAGTGTTTGGTAACTCTTACTTTTTAAAGCCACAGTAAATATCCTAGTTTGAGATAAATTATTTAATTTCTGTTTATCTGCCTACTTCAAAGATTTCTGATTTCTTTGCCCCCTCATTAGTTAGCTGATTTCTTTAAAAGTTTTTAGAAGAACAGCATAATGCACAAATGAGTAAGGTGAACTTCAATTTTTTAAAAACATGATTCTACAAGTCACTAGATTTGGGAAAGAGTCACATTAATTCTAGGTATCAAAGCAATCTAAAAGTTGGGCTATTAGAAGTGCCACTTGTTAAAGTCTTGATTTGGAAATTAATTTTAGCGCCATTGTGAGTTATCTCAGCTGATTTAATTAGAGGATAATATGTCATCACTGGGAACAAGAGTTCATTTGAGTTGACTGATATACTTTTTTACATAAAATATCTTTCAACTGCATTGTATCTTAATAATCGCTTGTGAGTAGAAATGTAGGCCACTGTCAAAATTGATTTAAAATGTACAGCATTATGTTGTTTAAGTATTATGGCATAAAGATTGTGCCATAAATTATGTAAGAAAGTGACAAGTGTTCTTTCAAAATTAT